TTTAAAATGCTGCAACAACCTGATCCTGATTGTGCCCTTAGTGCAACACACTTGTCCTCCCCTCATGCACTGGGACCTTGCAGCATTTAAAAATGTCTTTAAAATGGCAGTAGGGATGGGGACAAACTGGCTCATGAACTAAACTTTGTGATGAATTTTGGGGAGTTCGTAGTTCGGAAACTAATGTTCATGGAAGGGCAACCAGCATGAACATTCCATGAACTTTCATGCTGTTTGTGGCAGTTTGCGAATGTATACATTTCCAGACGGTCTGTCAATTAAAACGTTTACAAAACTTCAAAGCAACAGGGGGCAGACTTCTCCAGCATTGGAAACACCAATAGGGGCCCTGTAAAACTTGACAGGCACTGCTGGCTACCAATAACAGAGTTCCCATTCTGCTCTATGAGATCAGATTGCTATATATATACCCTCAACTCAGCTCCACACCCCCTCCTATGTTGGCTGTTAGCAGTTAGACAGAGTGGCAGGGAACTTATTGAAAGCAGAACACATTCTTTCATTCCTGATTGTGAACTCCTCTCCTCTGCTGTGATTTGGGTGTTACATGGACTCAGGGCTCTGGGACATCCCGTCTCTCTATTCATGGTGAGCGGAGGGGCTTAGCTACTGGGTGTCCTGGCTGAGGACCTGTGTGTTTCAGCCCTGGAGAGGAGGGCTGTGAGAGTTGTGGACACACTTGCCTTGCTTGTCTTGTGTGGCTGGGGTGCCCGCCAAGCTGTCGTTGGGTTACTTTGGGGAACCCCTGTTGGAATTCTTGTCATGTCTGCCTTTGTGTCATTTAAAATCTGTTTTTGGAGACTTGGGGGGCTGCAAACATAGAGGGAATGCTTGGCTGGGGAGGAATCTGCCCAGGTGAAGTTTCCCTGTGAGTTTGGTGTCACTGGCTTGTTCCTGAGCCATTCCATAGACATCTGTAACTGTAGCTGTCTTTTCCAGAGAGAGCACTGGGGAGACCTGGGGGGCCGTAACTGGGGCCCAGAAATGTAATCCACCTCCAGCTTGGATAGACTATAGAGGAGTGGCTGGCAGGGTGAGTTTCCCTGTGTGTTTGGTGTGTGTAGATTGTAGGGGGTCCATTCTATATACTTTTTAACCTGCACCTGACATTTTTCTGGGGGCATCTTCTTTGGGGGGGCATAACTTGGTTCCCCCAAGTCCACTCTTGAACCTCCTAAACCTGCACCTGTCATTTCCCCAGAAAGCACTTTTTGGGGCCATAACTCAGACCTTGTAAATTCAATCCTCACCACACTTGGAGGGCAGGTAGAGGACAGTCAGTTGGAGATCCCCTGCAAGTTTGGTATCTTTTGCATGCTGGGAGGGTGTTCTACCACATCGCAAACCTCACAATCCAAACCAGTTCATTTAACATCAAAAAGTTCATGATGGTTTGTGGTCTGCCAACCAAGAGTGCCACAAACCATGAACTGAACTGCATTTTTCTGGTTCATGCCCATCCCTAAATGGCAGTAGCTTCCTTGTGGCAGCCATCACACTTACTCAGCCCTATCTATCTATGTGTGTCTATATTTCTATCTGTCACATGAGTATTCTAAATGTCCTCTGTGAAATGAGGGTTAAGGTAAAAAAATAAAAGGTAACAGTTTGAACTAGAGAACTATTGTTTAAAGGCACATCCACACACACATATGGACTGCATTTAAGATAATCTCTTACTGGTAAATCTGTAGTAGAAAATAGGTTGCGATTCCGGTCAGGTTGGCAGTCTCATGTTGCAGGGTTATTGCGGGAAGTGAAAATAAAGACCTTTGTACATTCTGTCAGTCTTGCTTCAGCCAACTGAAAATAACATATGTAGGCTGGGGTCCAACTTTATGGAAAACTTTTGTGTAGCAAACATACTGGATCAAAGGGATGCAGATAAGTGGAACAATGAATTCTCAAACACATGAGGTTTCTCTGCTAGAGACTGCCTCTAAAATTTAGCATATCAAAGAGTAGCCAGAGACAGTTTATCCACAGAGTCTTTGAAGTAAGGTTGGGACATAAAGTTCATTCTCGGGAAAGCCTTGGATTAACCTGGTTGGAAAGTTTTCCCCAAGATTTATTTTTGGAAGAAACATATACAACAAATGGAAAAGCATAGCTGGCATTGTTCCAACAGCAACAGAGAGACACATAGGTGACAGTGGGCCAAACTACACATTACTGTTTTTAAAGAGTTGGGTCTTGGTTCCCCACAGCAAACTTGTGTTCCCTGGAGCTACACAGCAGCTGTGGGGAATGGCTTCTTTTAGAAAAAAAAGGAGAGCCCAGATGGGGCTCAGCCAGTGCCGCTCCCAGTCCAGTAGCCCCCCTTCCTCAATAGCAGATTTAAGCAGCCAGGAAGGGCAAGGATCATACAAGCAGGTGGTAGCTCTCAGACTTCCAAGAATCCTGTCCGCATCTTCAGACTGGACAACCTGGAAGGGAATTCCACACAACTGGACAAGTTGGCACCCTGGGACCAGCTGATCCTGAGAGTCCCCCTCCCTCCCTTCCTAAAACAAAGTAAAACTTGACCACATGATGTGTTTTGATTTTATATTATTTCATGTTTTAAGATATTGTATGCTGTTTTGAATGTTGGAAACATCACCTGTAAACATTTAAAATAAATACTGGCTACAGATACAAATTAGATGTAGATATAGATATCTGTCTGTCTGTCTGTCTGTGTCTGTGTGGAAGTGCAACACAAGGCTGCTGTTTTCAGTGGCATCCCCCTATTTCTTCCAATGTGTAGTTCTGCTGAACTCAGGGTAGACAGCTGTCAAAGGCCACTTTGTGCAAACATTGCAGATCTGCTTTCTTTCACTTGCTCTTGAGCAAACAGAAGTTAAATCTGAAGTGCAAATGTGGGCTATGAGGCAGAATGCCACTGTTTGGCTCATGTTAGGAAAGTTTGCTGTCCAAGTTGTTCTTATTGCTAACTAAGGAGTTCAAAACCACCCAGATGGAAAAAGAGCACAATCAAACATCCAAAGGTCAGGCAGACACATACCAGTCACTTGAACTGGTCCTCATCAGAGCTTACTGCTCCTGTAAATGACCCCTAATTCCACTTCAAAACCTTAATTCAGTCCTTTAAAGCAATAAAAAATGTAAGGTTTTTATACGAGGTCTCTGGCTGCAGAGCCTTCAGGACACACTATTCTCACCTTTTAAAGCTTTTCTTAGCAAGTATGACAGATAGAAATGTGACCTTTTTGAAGATTAGTTGCACAAAGGCACCTTAGGGTGTACATGCATAGCAAGGGGCAAATGTTATTCATCTCTAGGTTCTGCTTATAATAACCTTGAGTTTTAATATGGGAGGGGGAATCTTTGCTGCTTCTGTGTCTTTTAACCAGTTTGTGCTCTAGCCTAGAGAGTAGCTAATAGCTAAGCTCTGGCTTTCTAGGGCCTGCTTGCTTCCTGTAGAGCACTCTAGTCTCCCACTTCAGCTCTTGCCTTGATGGCTGGGTCCTGCCCTCCTTGTGGATTACCTGTGATCCTTGGATTTTGCTGCCTGCTTTCCAGAACAGGATAGGATGGCAATATGATGCCATTAAATAGCAGCTCAAAGCAATGCTCCCAAATTCTACTTTGTGAGCTACTGACATTAAAGTAGTGAGCAAGCGATTTGGCTACTGCATAAATAAATTTGCTCTGGAGCCATCCCTCCTGAGCTATGACAAAAATGTGTGAGCCGGAGGCTAAAAAACTGTGAGCTAGCTCACACTAACGCAGCTTAGAGGGAACACCGGCTCAAAGTGTCTGCACCAAGATCTAAGGTGGGATCATGTCAGCAGAGTTATGCTCTGCAGCCCATAGAAAAGGGTTAGACTCTAACCCTTTTTAAAGGGTTGCAGAGGCGTAACTCTGCTGACCTAAACCTGCATTAAATCTTGGTGCAGAGACCAAAGGTTGGTCGAGAGCCAGTTTGGTGTAGTGGTTAAGTGTGTGGACTCTAATCTGGGAGAACCGGGTTTGATTCCCCACTCCCCCACTTGCACCTGGCTGGATGACCTTAGGCAAGCCATCGTTCTGATAAGAGCTGTTCTTGAAAAAGAGCCGTTTTTGTCAAGAGCTCTCTCAGCCCCACCTACCTCACAGGGTGTCTGTTGTGGGGAGGGGAAGGGAAGGGAGTTTGTAAGCCGCTCTGAGACACCTTTGGGTAGTGAAGGGCGGGGTATAAATCCAATCTCTTCTTCTCTTCTTCTTCTTCTTTACCAGGGATTGACTAAGCTGAAGTGTAGCTGTGCAGACCACTTGATTCTCCTTACACCAGGCTGTGACCCATCTAAGGGATCTTGGGCAGGACTAAGTAGATAAATAAAATTGTCACAGCACCACCAGTGCCATCATCCCTGTGCCAACATCCCCTTTCTCCAAGCACTTGCCACATTAGGAACAGGTTGTCTAATAAAGAAAAGACTGGCCTTTCTATTTAGTGGGGGGTGACATGGCTCCCCTTCAGGTGCCATAAAGGAGTAGCAAATTGTCAGTCATTTAATTTATTATCATATTTTTATCTCAATGGGTAGATGTCATTTGGATTTGCTGCCTCAGGCACCAAAATGACTTGTTCTGTCTCTCAGTAAAGAAGACTCAAGGCTTCAAAATATTCAAATAATAAGGGAATGCTTCCCAGAGGCAAGTACTTTCAGAATCACAGAATCGCTTGCTTACTCCGTAAAGCATCTTGACAGTATTGCAGTTGAAGCAGGTAAATACCAAAGCCTAAACAGCCCATGGCTACTTTTTTCTAGTTTCATTGATATCCATTTAATCAGAAAACATGCTCTGAAACAACTGAATTTGAGATATAGGTACTCTGGTGGCACATTTCTCATAAATGTCATGTCTTTATATTTTGCTAGTTTTTTTTTCATTTCACACAATTATCTGTGATATCTTCCTGAGAAATAGTCCCTGTACAGAAAGCCAGTCATTCTGCAGTCACCATTTACTTCTCTCCCTTTCTTTAATAGGGTTGGTGTTGATCCAGATGAGGATCTGAAGACAGAAATTGCTGATCAGGTAAGTTACAATTTGAAGATCAATAGCTGAAGAGGATTGCTGTTTGGTCACGTATACTTCAGGGGGCTTTCAAAATCTTGAGAATAAATCCTAAGAACCCTTGGGGAAATGTCCAGCTCTGTTTAGAAAACTGGAAACAAAAATTTACTTTATGAGGATAATGTTGAACAACAGTGGATGATGTTTTGATACATCAAATCCATTAACTGTCATTTTTTAATCTGAGCTTTTTTTTTAGAAAAAGAAGTATTTCAGTAGACAGTGGGAATAAATCGAGGAAATATGTATTATTCAAATTATGAACTTTGGGGAATAATGTTAGGTCAGGACATTATAAATGTGCATTAGCTGATTTAGTACAATCTACGTGACACTGCTTTTGAAGATTGTATGCTCCAGAGTATGTCATGCACCTGGAGTCTGATCCCATCAGTACCAATGGTCTTGTTATTCCTTAGCTGTTAGTATGCTTTCATACATTTTTAATTAATATGCATAAATATTTTTTAATTATCTTCACTATTCACTTCACACATCTAACCAAGTAGACCTAAAGAACCTTATGCCACCACATTTTTTTAAATCTATAAACCAAACCCACAATGGTCATAGTACCCCATATATTCAACTGGCTTTCGAGCAAGGGAAATCTTTACCTTTACTATCTCTAGAGCTCTTCAATGCCAATGAATGAAAACATGCTCAGGTAATATGCCAGGACATTGTGGGCCATGGTGGAACTATGCATGCCTCCTGTATCCTCAACCAATCGTCTCTCGTTACACAGTTCAACATTAGTAACTTGCATTGTGCAGAAGAGGGGCTGGATAGGGATATGGATGGTACATATAGATTTCCGATTCCTCCTGACAGTCCATTATGCCACTGGTGTATGTGCTATGTATAAAAAGAAGAAACAAATGAGGTATTACCATGCTCCTAACTTTTTATCAGACACTCAGTTATTTCCACAGTGGGGGGTAGTACTTAGGAGGTGAATCTCTATTTTCAGTTTGGAGGAAAGGAAGTTGATGAAAAAGACTTCTTTGAAATAGGAGCTATGGATTCAGTTTAGAAGGAGGAGGAGACACAATAGACACCCTGTGAGGTAGCTGGAGAGAGCTCTGAGAGAACTGCTCTTGAGAGGACAGCTCTGAAAGAGCTGTGACTGGCCCAAGGTCACCCAGCTGGCTGCATATGGAAGAGTGGGGAATCAAACCCGGTTCTCCAGATTAGAGTCTGCCACTCTTAATCACTACACCAAACTGGCTCACATTAGACCAAATTGGCTGCTACAATCATCTGGCCTAATCATGTTACATTACCTTTATCAAGGCACTCACCATTTTCCTGATCATGACTGATTCGTCACTTATTGGTGCATTTATCATTTGCCTTGCTCATATACTTCCACCAGGGGTCATTTCGTAGAAAAAGAGCTAGGGGAACTCATTAGCACAACTCATTAGCATATGCCACACCCCCTGACATCAGGGGCCCGGCGGTGGACCTGCAAGGCCAGTGGGAGTGCGAGGAAGCCCCGCCAAGGCCCTCCCTGGCCCCAGGCAGGCAGGGGTGGGGAGAGGCGGGGAGGAAGCAACTTACCCTCCCTCTTCTCCTGCCTCCTCCTGGCTGAATGAGGGCTGGAAGCGGGGCGGCCGGAAGCAGGGGCGGGGCTTCATCATGTGCCCCGCCCCCTGCACTTCACCCGGGGGAACTGTGTTCCCCCCCGAAATGACCTCTGACTTCCACTCACTCATGGAGAGTCTTTTGTAACTTAATACTGTGAGGCTGTCAACAGTATTCAGAAATAATTGAGTGCAGCTAACTCCACTGTGTTTTCAGCTTGTTTAGAATATGGACAATGCTGCCCTTGATGCACACCAATGAAGGAGAGGTCATTATTATTAGAAATGGCTCAGTTCTTTCTTGTAGCATCCTTGAGTATTTTTAATTAATTATTTCTCACAGAAACAAGTGAAAAAAGTCAAATGTATTCTGTAACAGTTTCTGTCCAGCTGGCTGTTGTGTTGATAAACCACTTAGGTACATCTCCTCAGAAAGACTTGCAATACATATTTTTGAGCAGGTGTTTTGAAAGAACACTGCAGGTCTATCACCAGGTCTCCAGGGAGAGTGGGCTAATATGACGTACAAAACTGGAAATTTTAAACTCTTTAATTTTGTTAAACAGGGATTAACTAGGTTGAATTTAAACCATACATTTCCTTATGTTCTACCTCTTTAAGCTACAGGGTCCACCATCAAACACAAATTAGGCCTAATGAAGCCCATTGAAACCACTGGCACTAACTATGCTGAAGTCCTATAGATATCGACTTGTGGTTAAGCTCCACTGAAATTAGTGGGACTTCCTTCTGAGTAAATACGTATAACATTAAGTTGCATCACTGAGTTGGGCCATGCTCATCCACAGCATTTTCGAGAGCGCCTCCCACTGAAGAAAAGGATTCCATGGCACATTATTTGAATCCCAAGTCCTGTCACTGGTTTTATTGCTTTCCATCAGTTTCTAAGAATAACAGTTGGCTCACGTTCAGTAATACTTTGATTGCCTGTGACATTTTTATTGCCTCCCTAGGACCCCAGACTTTTTACCAGCTTCATAAGCTTTCCCTCACTCCATGGTGTTACATTTTGAAAAACATGCCACCACCAACCATATATTCAATACCCGTTTTTCCCTGGAGTAATTTTCTCTGTCACTCTACAGAGTGTGTTGACACTGACAGAAGTCTGGCAAGCTTTGTGTGCTTGACTATTTTATTTTGTTGTTTTCAATAAGCCTTGGAAAACCAAGGAAACCTTGCAAAAAGGGAAAGTATCAAAGGTATAACATGGCCAAACTTCAAGTCAGATATGAGCAAATTGCCTTTGGTTTCCTAGGCCTTTGCTCGTTTCAATTTTCATTATCTTTCTTGTTTATTCCTGCAGTTTTAACTCACTAGAGGTGCCAGCCATGGGGGGGGGGGGGACACTGTGCTGACACCAAGGCTGCTTTCATAGATGTTAGATAAAGCACTTTCAATGCACTTTAGCAATCAGTTGGAAATGATCACTACATTGCATTGAAAGTGCATTATCCAACATACATGAAAATAGCCCACATCATCACTTTCAGAGCAAAACCAGAAGTGACATCACTGAGTTTCACCAACACAGTGATATCACTTCAAGTTTTGTGCCGGAAATGACCGCATTAAACTTTTCCCTCCCATTTCCCCCCACTGCCCTGCCAAGCAGCAACAGGGCCAGCATGTGGAAGATGGGGAGTCTACAACTCATCCTTAGCCACAGAGTTCAGGTTCACTAACAGCATTAAAAATATGAATTAAGAAACCAAATCTAAGACACACAATAATACCAAAACAGCATATAGAACAAATTTAAGCAAATTCAAAATGCCTAAATGTTAAGGGCTGGTGCATGGTCACCATGGGGAAGGCTACTAAAACTAAGGATCCCCATCTGGCCTAGAACAATCACAAGTATTGAGCACATGGCTTTCTCTGTCAATCAATCAATCAATCAATCAATAAACCTTTAATAGCATATATAGCATTAAATTCAGAAACAGAAGATGACACAGTCAACTAAAAAACTGAAATAATTATAAAATCATGAAACGGAGTTTCCCAAATTTTTCACTCTTATCACATCGACTAAAAAATTAGCCACTGCCACTGTAATCTCTGCTGTTGTATCATTCAATAGAATTTGACATTTTCTTTCATTAGAAAGGTGATATTTACCATGCAACCAAGAGTTTAACCATTTTTCCCTAGCAGATACATGGAACGAACACTCTAGCAGTATGTGATCAATTGAATCAAGAGAGCTTGAACCACAGTCACATTTCCGTTCGTACTTAGGAATATTATGAAACCTACCATACAGTAGTTTTGATGGGAAGGCATTTACTCGAGCAAGGGAAAAAGCTCTTCGATGGCTAGTGCTATCCAAATTATACAAATACTGGGGAATACATCCCACATCATTCTTAAGATTTAATGAAGCTGAAGAGCAGACAGGGGGATGAAAGGGCTGCAGTTTTTGAAACTCAATATCTAAAAGCCTCTGATTGTATTAAAAATATACACTTCAGAGGAGAAAGCTAACTCCTCCAAGGAGAGGCCCAAAGAAGTTATTTTGGATCGAATATTCAAGTCCCAAGAAGTACTATGAATTTCCTTTAACAGAAAGGACAAAAGTGAACCATCTTCAATGTTAAAATACAATTTAAACCAGTAACGGACCTTTAACACCCATGTCTTGGTTTCAATCAAATTAAGTCCTAATTCAGAGCACAATGCATGGTAAGAAACACAGTTTGGGAAACCCATAATTTGTCTAAAAAAGGATGATTGAATTGGCTTTCTCTGTCATGTTGTGAATTTACATCTGACAGCCTCAGAAGGTGAGTATTCCCAATATGATGGGGCTCTCTGTGCGGAAGCTGGTCTGGACTGTGATGACTGGAATGTGGGCTTTTGAAGTCCAGCCCAAATATGGTCTAGAGGAAAAGAAAATTCTTCATCTGTGCTGGGGCCACTTCTCCACCTATTTTAATCACGTGTATCTGTTACATCAGGAAAAAGAAGAGACAGTTTCTCCACTGTGGAAAAACCCAAGCTCAGTCAGGTTTTGTAGAAACAGCTCATCAGTAACTTCTGTCAGCCTGTTAAACTGAAAAAGCGACCAAAGCATCAAGTTTTAGCTTGGCGGTAAGGATAGAAGCAGAAGAAATTCCTGTGAAGTTCTCTTAGCACCAGTTTGGTGTAGTGGTTAAGAACAGCAGACTCTAATCTGGAGAACCGGGTTTGATTCCCCACTCCTCCACATGCAGCCAGCTGAAAGAATCTGGGTCAGTCACAGTTCTCTCAGAGCTGTTCTCTCAAGAATAGTTCTCTCAGAGCTCTCTTAGCCCCACCTATCTCACAGGTGTCTGTTGTGGGGAGAAGAAGGAAAGGAGATTGTAAGCTGCTTTGTGACTCTGAGTGAAGGGCGGGGTATAAATCCAACTCTTCTTCCTCTTCTTGTTTTTGTTCTATGGATACTCTAGTGTGTTGGTGGAAAGTACTGTCAAGTCACACCTGACGTATGGTGATCAGATAGGGTTCTCAAGGCAAGAGACATTCAGGTTTGCCATTGCCTGCCGCTGGATCATGACCCTGGTCTTGCATCCAAATACTGGCCCGGGCCGACCCTGCTTACCTTCCAAGATCTAAATAGATCAAGCTAGCCTGGGCTATCCAGGTCAGGGCTCCTGGATATTCTAGTACAAACTACAAATACCTTCCAAAAAGTAAAACTGGTGGCATGTCCCTTTAAAATACTCATTACTTTTGGAGAGGGAAGAGTTGGTCATTGGTTTCATAATATTTAAAGGGACCTACACAACATTTTACACTTTCCATGGAAGTATATTTTGCACATGGCTGCCTATATCCAAACAGAAATGCAATTTGAGAATGCATCTTTAATTGGAATATGTGCATTCATAACTTACCACTGCATACATGTTAATATATTTTTCATAGCTATAGGCACATTTCCATTGTATATATGCTACATAAGGATGCTCCACAGTCAGCTTGTAAAACAGCAGCCAGTATTTGAAGTTGATGAATAAAATATCAGAAATTTTCCCATATCAGGCCTGGGTGGGAAGGAATCAAAACATGATTATTAAAATATTATGATCCCAATAGAAATGGCCCTTTTTGTAAACCATAAACAATCATAAATAAAATAAATAAACAAATACCTTCTAAGCTTGACTGGAGTAAACTGAGAGTAATCCCACTACAGCAGTTTAGAAGAAATATCATTTTTTATTGATCACAGACTATAGTGTTCCTCGGTTATTTAATAAAATTGGAATCATTAATAAAATAAACACTGAATTATTCTGCTCAAGTACCAGTGCCGCAAGGGAAAATATGGTGCATGATCCAATGCCTTCTAGAATAGATTTGTACATGAAGATGGAAATCCTATATTTAGGAGTTAGGCACAAAAAAATCTGCATTTTAATGCAGTCGCCAAGGCAAAATTAGGGTGCAGCTATGCCAGTCATCACTATGTCAGAGCTAATGTCAACGTAATTGCAGTGCAATCCTGAAGAGAGCTACATCATTCTAAACTCATTGACTTCAATGGGCTTAGAAAGATGCAACTCTGCTTAGGCCTGCACTGTTAGTCACAGCTAGGGATGTGCATTCGGTTCGTCTGAACCAACTGCACCCCCGAAAAAGGCCCATTCGGACCCCTTTCGGGCTGCTGAAGGCCGATTCAGATTCTCTGATCTGATTCGGCTTGCTGCCGAAATGCCGCCGAATTTCGGCAGCAATACGACCCCATTATATCCTATGGGCCATTGAAGTCAATGGCGAAAACATAGGGTATATTCTTGGGGCTGGAGGGGAGGGGGCTTGAGAGAGAAACTCCACACTCGCAGGGTAGCTGCTGGAGCCTTTCCCCAAGATACCAACCATGTTGCAAGAGCATCGGACCAGGGAGTCCACTTCTACGGGCCCCCAAACAGGTTGCCCCTATCCCCTCCATTATTCTCTATGGTGGGGAAAAGTAACGTTTTTCCCCACCATAGAGAACAATGGAGGGGATGGGGGCAACCTGTTTGGGGGCTCGTAGAATTGGACCCCCTGGTACAATGTTCCTGAAACATGGAGGGTATCTTGGGGAGAGGCTATAGCAGCTACCCTGCGATTTTGAAGCCTCTCCCTCAAGCCCCCTCCCCTCCAGCCCCCAGAATATACCCTATGTTTTCGCCATTGACTTCAATGGCCCATAGGATATAATGGGGCTGAAATTGACATTCGGATGGCCTAAAGACTCCCAAATCGGCTTGTACTGACGAAACTGACATGCTGGAGTCTTACTGCCAGCCGAAATTGATTCTGCCCGATTCGGCCAAATCCGAATGGGCCAAAAAAAATATTTTATTTTTTTTTGCACACCTCTAGTCACAGCCCTATGAACTCTCATGGTCAAAGTAGAAAATGCAGATTCTATATGTTACAGACAGGAGACAATATAAGAACACTGACTGCATCCTTCAGATCCACCAATGAGCACCAATCAGAAAGTCATCATGGATGCAAGAAACACAACAGTTAACAAATACCAGGGAACAAAAGCTATAATGACATCACCTTACCCAGTCCACACCCTCTCTCCCATACACAATTCATAAGTGTGCTGCCAGGAAGAGTCCACAGCATTTCCCTCATAAGAATATTTAGCAGATAGGAAGGCAACTGTTGATACCTGCAGACAAGCTCTCTTGACCTCAATTAGGGTTGCCAGCTCCCCCCGGCTACTGGCGGGGGATAGGGGGTAGAGTTGCCAGATCTAGGTTGGCCATGTTCAGAGTGCTGATGACAACATACATTATTGGAGTTTGTTTTAAGAGGCAAGCTCTTCGAAAGGAAGAGAAAAGAAATCCAACCAGACAAGGGAGAACAGATTTTGTAATAGCAAACTTGAGAGCTCCCATACAGTGTGAAAGAGTGAGGCAAAAGGAAACAGATGGGAGTTTGGATCCTGCTGTTGGGACATGGTATAATACAAGCACAACTTACTTTTGGTTGGCCAAGGCAGTGTCTGGTGTACAAAGAAGAATAGGAAAAGACCCTGCAGGGGGCAGCAAGAAGACAATTAGATATAGGGTTGCCAGTCCCCAGGTGGGAGTGGGGGATCCCCTGACTTCACGGGCTCCTGCCTGCTGCCGGCCAACTGGCCTGCGGTGGGAAGCCCCACCCCCAAGAGCCACAACCCCGTGTGACATCCTCATGCCAGGGACATTGCACGGCAACACTCTGGTTTGTGGGTAAACCTCTATGGCTTGAGCCCAATTTTACCATACAGTTTGCTCAAAAACCAGTGTGTTGCCACGTGATATCCCTGGCATGATGACATCACTTCTGTGACATCACCCCACTCCCTCAGTCCCGGAAAGCTCCCTCCCACCCCCCACCAGCATGAGGTAAGGACCTGGAAACCCTAATTAGATAGGATAGGGAGGTCAGCGCCTTCTCTCCTGTTAAGTGTCATTCCTTGTCTGTCTCCAGATTGCTACTCTCAGGGCAATTTCTCCCTTCTTCTCAGAAGTGCCACACTCAGTCTTACCCTCTCTCTCAGCTAGAGATGTAGTTAGGAACCTATCTCTCTCTCTCTCCCCTTTCCTATCAAATATGTTAATTCCTAAATAAACCTTCATCTACTCTTTAATCAGGTTGTGCACCATTGCTGTGTTAATTACTCTGCCAGCCCTTTTTAGGTTTTGCTAATAAGAAAATATTTGGCTGGAAAGGTAGTTGACAGCAGGACTAGATGTGTGCCGTTGAATTAAATGGGAACAACACAAGTGTTCATTCACATCAATGGGGCTTGTTCAAAATCATAACGGATTGTTCCCTCTGCATTTTTTCTTTAATCTCTATTTCTTTTACATTTTAAGATTTAAGCTTAACCTTGTGTTGGTTCATAACTTTTGTGAACTAAGAATTTTGGATTTGTTTACATTTTCATCAAACATAGTTATTGCTTGTGAATTTTGAAGATCTACAAAAGGTTTTTAAGACCTCCTCTCTTTTTTATGAATTACAGACTGCAAATAACCTGGATAAAAACACAACCAAAGCAGAAAGTGCCTGGCTCTTCAGAATATGGTACGGTTTTGATCATAAGTATCCTATTATCTCTTTTGTGTTACCAATCCATGGAAAGTAATTTCATTAGCATGCAAAATAATTTGAAAAACTTGGAGTGGGTGAATAGATATTTCTTTTTATTTTAAATACCGTAAGAAATTAAATCACATTGTTGGTTCAGAAAAAGAAATAATGCCAAGGAATTGAAAGGAAACCCTGAAGAAGAAAGATGTTTTTACAGTATTAAAGGAGATGACAGGAATGAGATGAAAACGTATTCAGTGCTTACAACAAATTAATGGTTCTGAAGCTCTTGGAAATAAAATGTTACCAGCAATTATTAAACTTGAGAGTGAACAGTTGTCATGGTTGCCTCCACAGGACTCTGGAACCAAATTTCCCCTGCCACCCTCACCACCACACCCACATACAATACAGACAAAGGAAGGATGAAGGGTGGAAACTGATCAGTCCTTAATGGAACAAAAAAAGTACCTCTAGACATCCATAACTGTCCACCTTTACCCTGTACATAACTAGTATATAGAGCAAGTGTTCTTTTGCAGCAGGAGAGCACGTTAGGATGTCAAGTCAAACAAATGGTTAAAATGAGGGATTATACATTCCTAGAGAGACTTCTAGCATTTATTGTAGCCCTAGATCACAAGCAGAGGTCATTTCGGGGGGATCGTGGGGGAACGCAGTTCCTCCGGGTGAGGTATGGGGGCGGGGCACACGACGAAGCCCCGCCCCCTGCTTCGGGCCGCCCTGCTTCTGGCCGTCATTCAGCCAGGAGGAGGCAGGAGAAGAGGGAGGGTAAGTTGCTTCCTCCCTGCCTCTCCCCACCCCTGCCTGCCTGGGGCCAGGGAGGGCCTTCGCGGGGCTTCCTTGCACTCCTGCCGGCCTTGCAGGTCCACAGCAGGGCCCCTAATGGGGCTTGGCAGTGGAGCTGCAAGGCCGGCGGTGGCGGCCGGGACCGTTGGGGGCGGGGTGTGTGGCCTTATGGCACATTTCCGGTGATGTCAGGGGGTGTGGCCTTATGACACACTTCCGGTGATGTCAGGGGTGTGGCATATGCTAATGAGTTATGCTAATGAGTTCCCCTAGCTCTTTTTCTATGAAATGACCCCTGATCACAAGCATCATGCTGACTGAGAGCATGAGTGCAAATGAGGCAAGTGGCTTTCTTGGGGGCCCCAGAGGAACCCAAGCACTGGGGATTTTTTTTACTCCCAGTCGCCTTCTATCTGCAGGCTGGAATATGTTTCAGAAAGATGCAGAAGTATGATGACACTGATGTGTGTGTAATTTTATCACTATTGAATGTCCAATTATAGATCTGTTGCAAGTGACAAAAGTGTGCAGAGCATCAAGGCAGTACACATGTCATTGCCCAGCAGTGAAGATCTGACTGAAAATCTGCATTGGATAAGAACAGGCATTGCTGATGCTGCTGTGGGCAAGATCCTCTTTTTGCATAGGTAGCGTAGCTGGGCACCACAGAGCCCTGCCATAGGTGGTGAGCAAGAAAGCTGCCAACAGCCCTAGAACATGGAACCCTATGAGCTTTGCAATTCACACTGAAAACAGTAAGTGCAAACTGGGAGTTGCTTGGCAACTAGGGGAAGGGCACAGATGGCCCATATCACTTTCCCTTCATGTGTTGGTGGCAATTGGCTTGATTGTGATGCAACAACTCCATAGTGAAACACTGTAAGATACCTCCTCATTAGTGCCAATGAAAAAGAGTGAGAACTTATATGGACAGTTGTTTTGCTTAGGAGGGGCACTATCCAGCTCCCACCAATGCTCCCTCTAAGCTGTGGAGTCTTGTGAGCAAAACTTCTACTTTGTGAGCTACTGGCATTAAAGTTGTGAGCAAGCAATTTGGCTACTGCATAAATTAGTTTGCTTTGGAGCCATCCTTCCTGAGCTAAGACAAAAATCTGTGAGCTGGAGGCTAAAAACCTGTGAGTTAGCTCACACTAACTCAGCTTAGAGGGAACTTTGGCTCCCACCATTTGCTTTTCCCAAACACAGGCATATGCCTTACAACAAATTTGCCATCTAAGTCTCAGAATAAATAAATCAGCTCCTCCTAGAATTGTGTTGGTATATGAATGATGGAAATATGACGCCCAGACCCTGTTTGCAACTTTTCAGTTGAAAATGGGAAATTCTGCAACCAGTACAAAAGGCAGAACCTCCCTTCACATCTGATCAGTCTTCAGTACAGATTTGTAATAAAACAGCAGCAGCAGAGTCTATATAACCTCATTCTTTATTGCATTCCCCAATACATTGTTATTTACTCCTTTGTAACTCAGTTATTAAAGTCTCAATATAGAAAGATATTCATATGGAAAGTTGAGAAATAAGATTTCAGATATAGGTTTCTGGTGTCTTTTTTGCACAGGCATGGACAACTATTCAATTTGCAGTGCAGCATAAAGGGAAATAAGGTTTTTAAAAATTTATGCCAAGTGGCATCAGAGTATTCTTTAGACATGCTGATTCCATTTCTTCTTCTTAAGGAAACGGCTACGACATGTAACAATGAACATCAGTAAAGAGGAGAAACACGAAATAAGAAAAGGGAAAGGACAGAATGTACGCACCGTATGGAGAGTTGTGTTTCTCTCCTCTATCGATTTTTTTAAATAAGAAGAATCAGTTGGAATAGACTGCAAAATGAGCTTGATGATGGGCTGGCTGTTGCTGTTAAACCCCTTCCCTTCCCTTCTGGTCAGGTTTTCACCTTACAGAAAAGCCAGTTCAGGGTTTTGGAAATATTTGGCAAGATGAAATTTGAACGGGGGGGGGGGGGGGGGAGGTCCCCTGCCTGCCTCTGTCCCTCCTTCCATTCACTGCATAGCAAAAGTGGGCAGGTGTGCGGTCACTGAAGTGACTGCTGTTTCCAGGATCACTGGCTTGCCTGCCTTCTCTCTGCTGGTTGCACTGATGGTGCCAGGAACAGAGGGGAAAGCCTCTAAAAGAATTCCTAAACCTTTCCCCCTGTGGGTGGAGAGTGGGGTGGGAGGAGGGGAGTTAAGCAGCCTGTCTGTACCTGCCCCTTTGTCCACTTCCAACTTGCTGCACGCCCAGGCTGGTTTTGATTTTTTTTCAAGCAATATTAACGGAGGGAGGAAGCAAGAAAGTCTGCCATGGACTCTAGTGTGAGGGCCAAACTATGTGATACATTTTAAGTGAATTGGGTCTGGACTCTCTGGACCTAACCCACTTTCACCTCAGTCACATAGCTGCTACAGGGAATGTTGCTTTCAAAGATTGGAGGAGTTGATTTGAGTCATGAGGAGAGGAGGGGGCTTCTACTTCTCCCCCAGACACACACCTTTTCCCTGAGCTGAAACAGCCACAGTGGGGAGTTATTTGCATCACTCCGGAGCTGCATGTGCTCAGGATGAAAATGTACTAAATAAATACAATAAGATCATGCAACTTTTACAGAATCATTGTAGTACTATAGCACATGCCCCACAGTGCACATAGAAGGGAAACGTGGGGGGGGAGGTGTGGAGATGGCGAACGTGTGAGAAAACTCTCACTTCTGGAGGCTCCATCACCAATAGGCAGGCCTCCACATGAGCAGAGAATGAAAGCATTGCAAAGAATCCTTGCCTTGGGGAAGCAGCCTAATAGAAGCTGTGCAGGGTCCTGATCCACACTGGGATCATACAGGGTTGCGAAAGGTGCTTTTTCTTTCTGCCTTTGCACTTTTGTGATTAAAACTGACCCCATCTTTTGACTGTCTTTATATTAGGGTTGCCAGGTCCCCTAGTCACTCCGGCAGGGGGATTTGGGGGCATTCCAGGGGTGGGCGAGGATGGTACCAAGCCCCGCCTCTGAGCCTCACCCGCAAGAGTGACTTCCCAACCAACCACCCCTCTCCCTCCCCTCCTGCCCAATTTAAACGGCTTTAGCTGATCAGCGGGGACCACATGGCCTGCCAAACAGCTGGAGGGCCCTTTAAATCTAGCAGGGGGGAGGGAGAGGGGCAGTCACGGGGGCACACTCGGCTCGCAAAAAGACCCTTAAGTTGGGCAGGTGGTTGCTCTTGGGGGAAGGGCTTGGGGGTGGGGCTTCCCCCACCAGCCAGCTGGCCAGGGGCAGATTGAAGCCTCCAGAAGTGGGGGTGAAAAGCACTGGGTTCGCCGCATGGAGGACTCGGACGACGACATGAGTTGCACACGTTTATTGTACTTAACACAAGACTAACTAAAATGGCCCTGCAAGGCCAACTATATACACTCCCATCCAGCGCAGCCCTAGTCCATTGGACAGTTTGAATTTCCCACCAAAGTGGCTATTGGTCGGGGCTGGGGGAACTAGGATCCTATGTTCCTATTGTCCAGGGGAGCCAGGCTCCAGTCTTTGCTGCAGACCCCTGGTGGCAGTCCACGTACATAACAGGGGGGAAACCCACCCGGACCTGGGAGCTTGCAACCCTACTTTGTATCAATTTCAGAGCTAAATACAGGATGTGGGAGGGGCAGTTTTGGTAACTGAAACTGCACTGGAAAGGAAGATCTTTTCCCCTCTTCCCTGCACAACTCTGATGAATCCAATTTTCAAGGTGCTGGAAAGGTCCAACTACAGTTTTCTCAGCATCTTGTCTAGACTGGCCCTACAAAATACCTGACCTGCTCTACGCTGCATTGGTCGGGCTGCAGCTGGAGTATTGTGGGCAGTTTTGGAGGCCTCATTTCAAAAAGGATGTGGACAGAATGCAGCAGGTGCAGTGACGGGGAGGATCGGCGGGGGGGGGGGGCTGGAGACCAAGCCCTCTGAGGAAAGGCTGAGGGATTTGAGAATGTTTAGTCTGGAGAAGAGGAGATTGAGGGGGGACATGATTGCTCTCTTTAAGTATTTGAAGGGCTGTCACCTAGAGGAGGACAGGGAGCTGTCCCTGTTGGCAGCTGAGGATAGGATTCACAATAATGGGTTTAAATTAAGGGAGGGATGGTACCGCATGGATATTAGGAAAAGCTTTTTTACAGTAAGAGCTGTGCAACAGT